GCATGTAATGTTGCAAACATCGTCTATTTTTTCTATTTTTAAGTGATTTTCCACGCAAGCTCTTAATATTCCATGTGCCTTATCGATTCGGGACAGGTTAACTGCAATAGCATGGATTAATTATTATACACATCAATCGGTCTATCCTAAGACTTATTATATCTTGTAAGCGATTAATAAAAGTTTTCGGTCAAAAACTGCAACGTGAGTTGATCATAAATTGGTAAACCGAACAGCTGATGAGCGATGTTATAACCGCTAATCGCTACGGGACGGTTTCCTATACAAAATATGATTCGCGGTATCGCATGTGTCCCTATAATGTTGTCAATATAGCATCGGTTCCTCCGCTAATATATTTCTAGGACTAGGAGTATGAATTTTTGTGCTACTAATTTTTGTACTAGTATAGTATAGGTTTGTATATGATTATCAGGCTACAATTAAACATCAAATACTGCTCTATTTTCTAATACTGTATTATATCTAGACAGCGTGAATGCAGGTGGCGATATTGTTGTTTTTAAATTGCGGTTTTTGAGTGCTGGGTCGTTAAATTATATAATATTATTTCGTCAAGCTATAAAAATTGAAGTTGACGACACTTTAAAGACAAAGCCTTGCCCTTGTTTAAACGTGGATGAGAGTTGAGAAGCGAGAGTTTGCATGAGAGTTTTCTCACCTCTCATGCCCCGGTCAAACGAGAACAAGAGTTGCATGAGAGTTGACGAGAGCTGAGAAGAGCGAGAGTTTGCATGAGAGTTTTCTCAACTCTCATGTCCCGGTCAAACGAGAACAAGAGTTGCATGAGAGTTGATGAGAGTTGAGAAGCGAGAGTTTGCATGAGAGTTGATGAGAGTTGAGAAGCGAGATCTAGAGTTTGCATGAGAGTTTTCTCAACTCTCATGCCCTGATCAAATCAAATGAGAACAAGAGTTGCATGAGAGTTGAGAAGCGAAAGTTTGCACGAGAGTTTTCTCAACTTTCATGCCCCAGTGAAACGAGAACACGAGTTGCATGAGAGTTGATGAGAGTTGATGAGAGTTGAGAAGCGAGAGTTTGCATGAGAGTTTTATCAACTCTCATGCACCTGTCAAACGAGAACAAGAGTTGCATGAGAGTTGATGAATGATGCGGAGAGTTGACTGGATATTACCACGCACGTAGCGAAACCTCTCATCAACTCTCATCAGACATCACTGAAATTTGAACAAGCTCAAAGTTGATGACAGTCGATGAGAACTGGCGGTCTGGGAACTCTTATCAACTCTCGTCAATTCCCATCTTCAATTGACCACCGTGTTTTGAGCGAAGCTATCAGTCAAAAAACAAGACAATTCAGGACATTTTCTTACCAAAACCGGGCACGGCCTGAGACGAGCCTGTGAAACTATATCGAGAAACCTATTGGTTTGTAAGCAAAAAGGGGGGGGGGACAAAGTCCACCAGTAGACGTAATTTTGTAAAGATTATATTACGAATGTCCAAACGTTATAGTATGACGCCCTTGAGTGTAGGCAGCCTTAGGTTAGTTAGGTTAGGTGATTTTCATTTGTTTGTGCTTTAATTCCCAAAGTTAAGAAAGAGTAACAAAGTTGTGAAGACTCTGGCTTGCGAAGGTGCAAAATTGTAAATTTGATGGGAAATAATTTGAAATTTAAGTTGGCTTCAATGAAATACCCAATAATCACGAACGAATGGAAACTGTAGTACTGTCAACTGTAGTACTGTCAACTGTAGTATTGTACTGTACTGAAATTAGTTAATAGGCCATTTTATGCAAATTTTTAGTATTGTCAAAAACGCTGTTGATTTAAATCTTTTATTAAGTTAATATTGCATAAAAATGTTGGATGAGATAAAAGTTATTTGATCGTGATAGCTGTTCCAGTTTTTTGCTGTATTAAATCCAGCAGTGTATATAGTTTTTTTGGACAGCCGTAACAATGCTTTTGGAAAAGTCTTTGAATGTTGAACTTTCAAAATTGTTAAATTAGTTTCGATAACGTAAAAATAACCTAACGGGTTAAGAAAGGCATTAAATTCTCGAGAGATACAATTTACAGTTAAAAACGTCACAATTTTCGTGAAATGCACATGTGAAACTGATGAAATAGCTGTTTTCTGCACGCGAAACCTGATACGAACTCCCCCTTTGGCCTTCATCATTTTTGAATTCTGTATACAAATATTTTGAAATGTACTAATTTCATAGCCTGCTTGAAGACCATATATATATATATATATATATATATATATATATATATATATATATATATATATATATATATATAATATATACGCACGCATTTAATGCAAGCTGTGTTTTTTGCGTCACAGAGGCAGTTTGCGTGGGCCCGCACTGCCATAAAGATTCTTCGTTGTTCGATACTATTGAGACAATGACCTTATATAGTTACTGTGTTATGATTTATGATGCAGCAGGTTATACATCGCACAGTTTATATAGCTGTGAATAACTGAATACTTTACAAATACGCTTTGAAACTTGTGATGACAGAGTGACAGTATATGCATATAGCTGTCGTGTTTATAACGGAATTTTGTGGCAAAACTGACACATTGAAATTTGTTTTCATGTTTAATACATTTGGTGCAGAAGTTCTTCCAGGCTTTTTAAGACAAAGATATGATTATCCATATGAAGGTATAGATCAAAACTATATATATATATATATATATATATATATATGCCTTATGACAGTGAATTTTGTACTTGCATTAATATACTGTATATATATATATTGGATAATTTTCTCTACGGACTGTTGTCCCCAGTATAATCAGTGTATTCATATTACATTAATGGTAGCTCTATCACTTTTTAAACTGTTCTTCCTAGAGGTCCAGTAAAGATCATCTCTTATTGATCCAGTGTTACTACAGGAGGAAACCTAAACTAAACTAATTTGATTTACACTGGATAGCTCTATCAGTTCTAAACTGTTCTTCCCAGAGGTCTAGTAAGGATCATCTCTTATTGATCCAGTTTTATTACAGGAGGAAACCTAAACTAAACTAATTTGATTTATACTAGATAGCTCTATCAGTTCTAAACTGTTCTTCCTGTAGAGGTCCAGTAAGGATCATCTCTTATTGATCCAGTGTTACTACAGGAGGAAACCTGAACTAAACTAACTTTATTTATACTGCATAGCTCTATCAGTTCTAAACTGTTCTCCCTATAGAGGTACAGCAAGGATCATCTCTTATTGATCCAGTTTTACTACAGGAGGAAACCTAGACTAAACTAACTTTATTTATACTGGATAGCTCTATCACTTTTTAAACTGTTCTTCCTAGAGGTCCAGTAAGGATCATCTCTTATTGATCCAGTGTTAATACTACAGGAGGAAACCTAAACTAAACTAATTTTATTTATACTGGATAGGTCTAACAGTTCTAAACTGTTCTTCCTAAAGGTTCAGTAAATCCCACTCCTTTTTAAGGGAAGTTGGCAATCTCATACCAGGACAGGTGTGAGCAGCAAAAAGCTGGTAGTAAGAAAGTTCTGTACATAAATGCACGAATGAATAATGCGCTGTCCGAGTTAAAGGTCTGAAAACACTTAAACCAGTGACCTTTATAGCTGAAATTTGTCGACACTGAGTTGTTAAATTTCCCAATGTTTATACAATACAAAGATAAACTTTATAATTTGCATAACGCATTAACGGCGTTCCAAATATCACATTCCTCCCATGTGGTGTGCTCGAGATGGCCTGCTGTTTTTCAATGAATATTATATATATGTACATTTATGTATATCACATCAAAATTGAGTATATAGCCTATATAGGCATAACTATGACCTGTCTTTGATTTTACGTACAGTAATAATATGTGGTGAGGATTTAATACGAGAGAGCGCAAAATTCTGATTTCAATTACAATCTTTTTGAACATAGTATAGAAATTAGATTAAGACAAATTATTAGAAAATAGATATATGTTACTGTGTAACAGTTGAATTAATGTTATAAGATCGTTTTTAGAGTAACTTTAACATTGGTTAAGGATTCCAAATGCCGCACTCTGTATATAGCTAATGGTGAATCATTCCACTCACGAAATGGCAGCAAAAACGTTTTTCCCAAGTCGTCTTGACTTTACCTATAAGTGTACATCAGACTTCCGTCTAGTATTGCATGCTTAACAGTTCCAATGAACATGTAGTGTAAGCAGTTTTGTCGCAAACTGCAGCCATGCATAAACCGGTCTAACTATACATCAAGAGCCGGTTATATACCTTCCTAAAAATGCCGGAAAAGCTGAGAAACAACGGATATATATATAGACCTCGTAATTATTAGAATAAAACTTTAATTTATATAAATAGTAACTTTTAATCTGATTTACCGCACCCAATCAACGATTTTAGACAGCTTGAAAAACTCACTATACCGGTGGATAGCGTTGCCTTCGTAACAACCGCGGCGTCAAAATTACTGTTTTGACTCATGCTGTTTTGTCTGATCAGAATGGAGAAGAAGCTATTAAGATTCCTGATTATCTTTATGCGTTTCCCAGAAGCAATTTTATTTCATTCATATGTATATCTCGTACCTCAGTGACGAAAACACGATGTTTTGTATCGCAATGAGCTCGTCAATGTACGGCCCCCCTTCTCTGTGTTTAAATGTTGAAAGGCTATTATCTTTCAAAAAAAATATATAGCGTGCCATGCACTAGAGAACCGCAACTGTTTATAATTGGCATTTGGCAGCCAAAACCTAACGTTTTGACGTTTGAATTATAACAACGTTATATAACACAAAACAATATAACAATATTGAAATGAGGGGAAGGGGGTTTTGTCTCAATGCTTATTGTATGATTGCGGCCTGATATAAAAGAAGCCTAATGTTCTATAATTCAACTATTGTTTTAACACGCTTCAATCTTTTTAACTATTGTTTATCACGTTTCAATTTTCTTTCAGATATAATTGATCGCTGGTTAGTTTAATTATGCACCGGGTTTAGAGCTTTTCACCACTTTGGTCTAAAATTAAACACAACATCAAGAATTCTGCCTACGTCGTCTGCAAGCGGTTTTCAAACGACGTATACGCCACATGGAAAACGAGTAGAAAATGGCTTCTACTTTCCTAAAAGATTGCTCCGTGTTTCTGCAGTGTAAAACAGACCCGACGCGACCCAGACGAGTTAATTGATTTGAATTGGCTTAAGACATTTTGATGACAAGTATGGTATAATCTTATATCATCTCTGCTCAGGAATTTTGACAATATACCCGCAATCAAATTTTACACCGCACTTGTTACTTGACTCGTTTATAAACGGTGGACAAATCTGGGCAGAAACTTTCATAATTTGGAGCTGAAAATCTACTTCGCAAAGGTGAGCGTCAGTTCGTGTTTAATGATATACGCATGCTTGCCATATCAAGCTTTGAGTTTGCGTTTTCTCTGGACCGAGTTTGTATTTTTCTTCAGAATTGCATTTAAATTTAAAAGGTTAACATGAACCACATGTAGCATTGTGATTGGTAATTTACATGGGACAGATCATTCTGACCAAAATTTTACATCAGTCAACATGTGAGAATCAGTGCTTCCCTCTAGCAAAGGTTGCTCTCGGAGGATTCCAGGCTTGCTATTATAGTGTTCTAATCGTGCCCTTAGGGGGCTATGGATATGAGACGGAACACTCCTGCTAACTGTATACTGACTAATTTCTCCGGTGTCTTACAGTGGTTTCAATATTTGCCTAAAATAAAATTGATCGAAATATTCGGTTTAGATTGGCTGTAAACTTGTCTTGAAGTTTATCCAAATCTTGTCGCGAAGGAAAGATTTTTGTGACACGAATCGTCTCGCATAGCCGGACTACCAGGGTCTTACACCTAGTGCCCTCGTACCCAAGGTCTTTGCACCATGGTTACAAGGTTGGGCTAGTCCGCTTCGTGTAAACAACCCCTTATTGGACCTCTAGTCTCGGAAGAAAAGTCTAAACAGAAATTATTGAGCAATCCAGAGTTAATGAAGTTAAATGTATAAAAATTCCACTCAAAATTTACATCTACTGAAATCCCTTCAACAATTAGTTCTATCGAGTGTCCAAAAAAGCTTAATGAAGTTAGTTAAGTTTAGTTAATTAAGTTAAGTTAAACCATTCAGGTAAAGGCTGGATGGTATGTATTGTATAAAATACAACATTTCTGCATCAACTGTAACTCTACTCCTACACTCTGGCAGCTGCTAGCAAACAAATTCAATCTTCAACGGATGATTCCAGCTTTAGACGAAATTTTGATCTAGACAAGAAGAATAAAATCCATTACCATAGCTGGAAAAAGTATCTCAACATGAGTAAATTGCAAAGTTTGGTTGCGGAATGTTGTAAAATGAAGAAAATATAACCCTGTGAAGTTCGCAAATTTTGTATATATTTGCATTACGCGCGGGAAAAATAACCATTTTTGAGCCTAAAGTGGTTATTTTCACCGTGCGTAATGCAATTATATACAAAATTTGCGAACTTCACAGACACAGGGCTATATTTTCTTCATTTTACAACATTTAGCAACCAATCTTTGCAGTTTTACTCATTCTACGACGCTCTTTCTAGCTGTGGTGTTGGATTTCGTTTTCTTGCCTTGATCAAAATTTAGTCTATAGCTAGCTGGAATCACCCACTTACTGTTATGTAACCAAAGAAAAACTCTATTGGAAATGTATTGTTGACTAGACAGTGACGAATTGAATAATTTTGACTGATTTCAATACATGGTTACATCCCATTGTGAATGTTGAAGGGTCAATCCGTCAAAGCACACAATCAACTCTTTTTATCAAACATATTTGGTTGTGTTGGTCTAAGGCAGAGTGATTATTGCATTTGCCGTCTTTCATCTTTGCGATCCAGATTCGATTCCTACGGCCGTTTGTCCAATTGTGTGTGATTATATAACCTACTGCATGCAAATCAACGTGCTCTATGGTTTCTTCCTGCAGTAATAATTGTCTTACTAGACTTCTAGGGAGAACAACTAAAAGCTTGTTTATACCATCAACGTTTCTGTGATCACAGTAGGAATTTTAATGGACCTCATTCTAATTTTATCAAAATTTTCCGGTCAGAGAGGTCCAAAGCCCAAACGTTTTGTGTTTCATTCAACATTTGACCGTTCTGACCAGTCTGGCCGTGTTAATGGAAAGCGCCCTATAGATAAGTTTTACAAGTTTTTCTTTTGGGGAAAACATGCCATTTCTGGTTAGCGATCAGCCGTTAACATCAATCTTACTAGGTCTCTATATAATATTATATGAATTAACAACATTTTTCATATCCACTGTAGGTTGGGAGCCATGTTAAAAGTGCCCGGCACTCCTCAGACGGATGTCAGACGTGACACCGCTTTGGAAATGCCCAGCCCATGTCCATCCGAGAGACGTCAGCGGCCCAGTAGTTCTGTGTCATCAAAATTTTCATTCCGTCAGCCAGATCTGGACGTGGAAGAGTTTCAACCTGTTGCATTCTGTTGTCTCAAGAGAGAAAGCAAACCACGGATCTGGTTCATAAAGCTCATGTCCTGGCCGTATCCTTTGAGAACTAGATTAAGAACTAACTTTGTTTATATTGGATAGTTCTATCAGTTCTAAATTGTTCTTCCTAGAGGTCCAGTAAGGATCATCTCTTATTGATCCAGTGTTACTACAGGAGGAAATCTAAACTAAACTAACTTTATTTATACGGGATAACTCTATCAGTATCAGTTCTAAACTGTTCTTCCTAAAGGTTCAGTAAGGATCATCTCTTATTGATCCAGTGTTACTACAGGAGGAAATCTAAACTAAACCAACTTTATTTATACTGGATAGCTTTATCAGTTCTAAATTGTTCTTCCTAGACGTCCAGTAAGGATCATCTTTTATTGATCCAGTGTTACTACAGGAGGAAACCTAAACTAAACTAACTTTATTTATACTGGATAGCTCTATCAGTTCTAAACTGTTCTTCCTAGAGGTCCAGTAAGGATCATCTCTTATTGTTCCAGTGTTACTACAGGAGGAAACCTAAACTAAACTAACTTTATTTATACTGGATAGCTCTATCAGTTCTAAACTGTTCTCCCTAGAAGTCCAGTAAGGATCATCTCTTATTGATCCAGTGTTACTACAGGAAGAAACCTAAACGAAACTAACTTTATTTATACTGGATAACTCTATCAGTTCTAAACTGTTCTTCCTAGAGGTTCAGTAAGTATTATCTCTTATTGATCCAGTGTTACTACAGGAAGAAACCTAAACTAAACTAACTTTATTTATACTGGATAACTCTATCAGTTCTAAACTGTTTTCCCTATAGAGGTTCGGTTAGGATCATCTCTTTATACAACAGAAACAGCAGGAAACTTAAACTAAAGTAACTTTATTTAAACAGAGTAGGAGGGTCAGTTCTAAGCTGTTCTCCGGCCAGAGGTCCAAAAACGTTACTGTTTGTGTCTGACAGTTTCTGCATTGATTTATTGGCGCTGTATTAGAGAAGATGGGGGAATGTTTACAGAGCACCTCTAAAAGTGTTGTCATTTTGATAATAATCAGTTGCAAAGTTTTAAAGTTCGCACCGCTGTGGGACAGATGAGATATGCGAGCGCAATGTATGCATGCTGTCTGTATCGCCATAGCAAAGCAAAATAAAAGCGCATGCTTTTTATGGCAAAGGTCAAGAGGTAAAAAAATTATGATCTCATTATCTTGATTCTAACATAAATGGCAAGGTTTGGATCTTGTTGTGTTTCCATGCGGGAGGTTGTTCTGAGCGAGTGTAAGCTACACTAACTGATATTGTATGAACTTAAATGGATCATGTAGAGGTAGTACATGTTCTTGAATCAGTTGAGCTAGCCCAAAGTGATCTGATGTTGTATAAAACTTATAGTAGATCATATAGAGATGGTACATGTTCTTAAATTTGAGCTAGTTTCTTGAGAACTTACTGCTGAGTTGAATTTGAGAACTCACTGCTGAGTTAAGCATGGTTAGATCATACGGAGATAGTACATGTTCTTGTATGTGAGCTACCTTAAAGTTAAAGTCGATCGTAAAGTGATATGATGTTGTATATATAGACCTCCCTCACTCCGTCTCCGTTTCAAGTACTTTATATCTTATAAACACCGGCACATCAATCGAGAAAGCGGTTGATAAAATAAACTGATAAACGTTTAAACTTAGCATGCAGTTATTAAGAAATTCCAATGTTGACTGCGCGTGCCATCGTTAAGGTTAAAAAATAGTTTTAAGTAATTACCAAATAACTTCTAAATGATTCGGTGTACTTAAAAAATTATGATAAATGAATCATTCTGTGAAGAGGCTTAGGTTTGCAGGTTTAATGTCATAAACAAGGCGATATTTGGCAACCTTTTATGGTGAGGAAATTCTAGTTACGAGATATTTCATTTTAAAATTAGATATTGGTAGGTTAGCGACATTAGCCATGGTTCGTTTCAAGTGCTTGAAAATAGTTTATCGGCTTATCGCTTACTAATTTAATTATTTTCGCAATTAGTTAGAGAAGCCGCTGTTTGGATAAGGAATCTCCTAAAGACTTTCGGAGCCTTACTGAATCTCTAGGGAAAACAGTTTGGAACTGATGGAACTATCCAGTATAAAAAAGTTAGTTTAGTTTAGGTTTCCTCTTGTAGTAACACCAGATCAATAAGAGAAGATCCTTACTGAACCTCTAGGAAGAACAGTTTAGAACTGATAGAGCTATCCAGTATAAATAAAGTTAGTTTAGTTTAGGTTTCCTCTTGTAGTAACACTGGATCATTAAGGAATGATCCTTACTGAACCTTTAGGAAGAACAGTTCAGAACTGATAGAGCTATCCAGTATAAATAAAGTTAGTTTAGTTTAGGTTTCCTCCTGTAGTAACACTGGATCAATAAGAGATAATCCTTACTGGACCTCTAGGAAGAACAGTTTAGAACTGATAGGGAAAGCAGTCCAGTGTTAAAGTTAGCTCAGACAATTCTAACCCTAGTACTTCAATATATTTCTTAACACTGCTAAGATGGTTTGAACGTATCAGCATTCTAGTCATTTTAGTCAACTGTGTTACCCTGGGAATGTACAATCCGTCTGACGTGAACTGTGCAACCGAGCAATGTCAAGTCCTCGAGAGACTGGAAACGGCTATCTATGTTTTCTTTCTCGTGGAAATGTTGATAAAGTGGGTCGCCATGGGATTGTTCGGGAAACAGGGATACTTTAAGGACTCGTGGAATAAACTGGATTGTTTTATTGTTGCCGCTGGGTGAGTACGTTTTCTGGTATCACCACAAGCTGGTTTTTATACCTCTAGAGGTCTGAGGTGTTAGAGAAAGTTAGAACTGAAAAACTTCAGCATCTGCCTTGAATACTACAGAATTAGTATTAGTAAAAAATATACGCCCTCTAGGAAAGCTTATGAGGCTAATGCATAGATATCTTATATAGACTAGATAGCGCATCTCTTTTAGTAAAATTGAAGCCAAGAATATTCCAGCGGTTACCCCCATTTGAATAGATGGCGGCCATGTTGGAGTTTTCCACTCGCTAATAAACGCTTAAAAAACAACAATAACTTTCATCATTTGAATACTTTGAAAATGTATTTGGAATAGGTTTAACTTAATGTTTAAGTTCCCCTGTTTAGGAAATAGAAAACATACGAGTCTTCTCATTTCATGGGAATATCCTGAGTCTGCAATCACGGCTTCAATTCTTGAATTGCAGAATAATTAGATGCACTATCTAGTATATATAAGATATCTATGGGCTAATGTAGGTGCAATCAGTTAACAAATTTACATTAAGCTTCCGCGCTGCATGGTCAGTGCAGCTATATTTGAAAACTAAGAACAAGCTTGGACCTAATATAAAACAAATTCCTCGGAAATGAGAAAAGTAATACCAATGTACTTTAGTGTGATTGTAAATTTTTTTTCACTTAAACTTTTTCTGTTTTTTAGATCATTTGAGCTAGCCTATGGTGAAGGCGAATATCTAAGTGCTGTGAGGTCTATTCGGGTTCTCAGACCATTACGAGCCATCAATAGAGTCCCAAGTAAGTTGGTAGCATTCAATAAAACAAATACCTCTCCAATACAGACACCTCTCTCTCTCTTAAGACTGGTTTACAGAGGTAAGCATGAGGTAAACAGAGTGAGTTCCCTCAAACATTTGTTACAAATCCTTCAAAACTTAGAATTTACCTATGCAAAATTCTTACCAATGCAAAATTCCTACTGTGATCACAGAAACTTTGCCGGCCCTAATACGAACACGTCTCTCTAATGGACCTATTACCTAATGAACAACATTTTGATCTGGATAAGTCTAGACAAAAATTTCATCACAGCTTGATGAAAGAGCATCACAAAATTAGTAATATTCTAAAGTTTCGTTGCGAAATGTTGTAAAATGTGGATAATATAGCCCTGCGAAATTTGCCGTTTTCCAGTCATTTTGTATTACAAACGGGAAATTGATACGTATACCTTTTTTCAGAAAGCGGTAGACTTGTCTAGATCAAAATTTTGTTCATTAGATAATAGGTCCATACGAACGGTCACTTTGCGCTGTGTCGCTTTAGTATTGGATAGGCCCTCTATAAGCTATTATCGAATAACTGGTAAAAAAAGCATACATTTGTCTCTAGGTATCCGTATTCTAGTGCAGCTTCTTCTTGACACTCTACCGATGCTTGGCAATGTTCTGGCTATTTGCTTTTTCATTTTCGCAATTTTTGGCATTATCGGCGTTCAACTTTGGCAGGGATTATTGCGAAGTCGATGTTTCCCTGATCAACTGAATGCTACGATTGTAAATGAGTAAGTAGAACTGTGAGACCTCTGTGTTTAACTGACTGTTTCAGATAGCCAACTCGAAGGACCAGATATCCTGCTCGAAGGACCAGGGGGCGGTTGTACCACCGGATAAGCGTAAATTCCAATTCACACTGTAAAATGTGATTGGCTGACACCAATTTTACGTCGGAAAAAATTTTTGAAGTTGAATGATATTTTTGGAAAGTTTTCTGTCCTTGGAAATTTTTCTGAACTAAACTGAAATGGGCCTTATCTGTGAAATCTCTGTATACAAGAAAGGCTTAAGGTATGCTGGGTATCCAATTGTCGGAGTAGTTAGTTAAAGTCATTCTTTTCTTCCACAGATACAATCTATCGTCATTTTATCGTCCATCGTTTGACAAACCTGATTACGTGTGCTCGTTGCCTGGCAACAGTGGCCTATCAAAATGTGACCAGAGCCACTTTAACCATCACGATTTCAACGATCGCGATTGTAACAATAGTTGCTCACTGGCCATGAATACGTCATCATATTGGAACAAATATTACACAACGTGTCGAGACAGTGGGGAGAATATTTATTGGGGGTCTATATCGTTTGATAATATTGGTATTGCAACTGTGGCAATATTTCAGGTGAATTGGAATGATAGAAGTTCCGAAAATGGATGATCCCACCTGTCGACTAATTTCTTATCTAGACAAGAAAGACGAAATCTATCATTATAGCTCAAAAGAGCATCCTAAAATGAGTAAAATTGTATGTATTTTTGGTATTACGCGCGGAAAATGTACCACTTTTGGCTCAAAAATGGTGCATTTTTTCGCCCGAAATACTAAAATACTCAAGATTTGCTAATTTCACATGGCTATATTTTCCGTATTTTACAACATTTTGCAACCAAATTTGGCAATTTTACCAATTTAAGGATGTTCTTTTAAGCTATAACGATAGATTTCGTCTTTCTTGTCTGCATCAAAATTTAGTCATAGTTGGAATCATCTGTAATAAAGTAAGGGTGCATCAAGGCGCATTGCATCTTAATGGGTTAGACGTCTATCGCACAAGTTAGTCTAATTCTACTTTTTTTGTAAGATCTTTTATTTTTTTCATTCCAGATCATCACATTGGAAGGTTGGACGGACATCATGTATAAAATTCAAGATGCTCATTCCTTCTGGAACTGGTTGTATTTTGTTGTTTTAATTTTGGTAAGACATAAACTACGTTTCTTAAATTCCTTTTTCTGTGCATGGAGATATAGTGCCTTTCACCTTTGCGAAAGTTAGTTTAGTTTAGATTTCTTTCTCTAGAAACACTGGATCAATAAGAAATGATCCTTACTGGATCTCTCGGAAGAACAGCTTAGAACAGATAGAGCTATCCAGTATAAATAAAGTTAGTTTAGTTTAGGTTTTCTCCTGTAGTAACACTGGATCAATAAGAGAGATAACCCTTACTCGACCTTTAGGAGGAACAATCAGAACTGATAGAGCTATCCAGCACAAGATATTTCTCGACATTCTTTCTCATCATTTTCTAGCTTGGTTCCTACTTCATGACAAATCTCTGTCTGGTGGTTATTACGTCACAATTCCAGGAAACCAAACAACGCGAGACTGAACTTCTCAAATTGTCTCGCCAACGTTCTCGACCGAGTGTTAGTACCGTCTCCTCAGGCTACATGCAACACGGCTGCTACACGCAGATCTTAAACTACCTCGAGCACTTATGCAGGAGGCTCAAACGCCGTGTGAAATCCAGGCTAAAAATAGACAAGACCTCACAGCGCCGCCGTGTGAGACCTTGTATGCAACTAAAAAATCGTAAGGATAATGTCAAGTCTATCCATCATCATCACCACCATTACCACTATTACCACCACTATGTCCATCATCATCCCTGCCAGTGTTCAAGTGAAATTTCCGATTCTCCGCCCACCTCAACTGAGCCCATGCCGGAAATGCCCAGCGGTATGACCCCACCCTCCGTCGACCAATCTATAGGGATAACACAGGATACACAGGAGTCGAGGAACACTAAGGAAGGCAAGAGGATATTAGTGGTCCCACAGATACAAGTCATAGCACAAGCGGCGAGTGCGTTATATAAAGATGCCGGGACGAATTCGTCAGGGGAAATGGTTTCCACGGCAACAGCTAACATTAACATTGAAGGCCATGATTCGTCAGCTAGCGTTGTCACGTACAGGTAAGATAGTTTTCTACAATAAACCATCGTGGTCTGAGACTGAGGCATTTGAAAAGGCATTTGAAAAGGGAGTTCTGCCATTTCAGTTTTGCTATTTGAAAAGGGTGTTTTGCTATTTGAAAAGGGAGTTCTGCCATTTGAAAAGGGAGTTCTGCCATTTGAAAATGTGTGTTGTAAGATATTTTTCTAAAATAAACCGTCGTGGTCGAGTCATTGGACATCATTGTCCTCAATGAGTAATATTTTATATCGATTTCTCAACTCATATTTTAATTGAATTCTTGTAGCAAAACCGCTGACGCTGTTTCAATAGCAGGGCAGGCGACTGCCCAGACAATAGAAGCGGCATGCTCCTGCGCGGCTCAACAGTCTGGGGACGATAATATTCACGTGATTAAGAGGGCATGTGAGGATTCGTCAGAGGATGATAGGGGAAACAGCAAGACAAAGAGGGATAACTCATGTTATTATAAGTTTCGAGATAATATGAAAGAACTCGTGGAAAGTACGCGATTCACACGCGTGATTATGGTGTCGATATTTTTAAATACGATTTGTATGGCCGTGGAGCATCATGGACAGGTATTTAAAACAGTTAATGTTTGGATAGATGTGTAGTACATGTTGTAGTACATGTCGTAGTACATGTTGTAGTACATGTTGTAGTACATGTTGTAGTACATGTCGTAGTACATGTTGTAGTACATGTTGTAGTACATGTTGTAGTACATGTCGTAGTACATGTTGTAGTACATGTAGTAGTACATGTTGTAGTACATGTTGTAGTACATGTTGTAGTACATGTTGTAGTACATGTTGTAGTACATGTTGTAGTACATGTTGTAGTACATGTCGTAGTACATGTTGTAGTACATGTTGTAGTACATGTTGTAGTACATGTTGTAGTACATGTTGTAGTACATGTTGTAGTATATGTTGTAGTACATGTCGTAGTACATGTTGTAGTACATGTTGTAGTATATGT